AAATGCCCTTACACTTTAACACTTATGTTACCCCTTTCTCAACATGGACAAAACTAAATAATTTTTTGCTTAGAACTTATATTTGTACTATAATTTTTATAAATATGTATAAGTATTTAATTACGAACCTAATACTAAATGAGTCATGGGTTCAATGCCATTATAATAGAATTCGTCACGTCTGCCCACTCCTTTGTAGTAATTCATTTCAATGCAAAGGGACGATGTTGTTGAAATACACTTTGATGATATCGAAGACTGATATCATCAAAGTCAACTATTGGTTAAACTTATGAACTCGCCAATTTTTCAATTTACCAACTTTCGACAAATAAAGTCAAACTTTTCTAGGGACATCCAAAATCAAATTCGAACATACGCTCAAGTCGAAAATCACCAGGCAAACCTATTGAAACCATTGAACCCTGATTTCGAGATCGTTTACTCAAATTTAAACCTTGCTCAGTTCCCACCCCTAACTTGCACTATTAAGTGACTATGTGAATCTTCTGGACTTTGTTGGAGAAACTTGAAAAGGGAGGCATAAAAAGTTTTGAAAACCCAATAAACATGTAAAGATTATACCTTCACCAGTTGATCCACTTCTTTTTATATGTTATCTTTTGCCGACCCAGGAATTTCTTTCTACGGCTTCTACTACCTACATTGCTCTATGCATGCCAAGTGTGAACCCTCTTAACCCAATATTATGCTTATGAACTACAATGTTATCTCTTGTACAGTCTGTTTTGGATGTTCTGTACTAAAATTTGGTTTTCAAGGGAATGAGGCTGAAAGAAAGCGGACCCAATTAGAATGGAATAGCTAGCAAAATGTTAACGAGGGTTAAATAGGAAGTGAGTAAGAAAGTTATACATGCTAGCAAAGACCATACTTAGAAGAATCAAGAAAGGTTGTCAAACATTAATTGAGTTGTGAGTCGTGATAGACTAATCTAGGGTGGCAAATGAGCGGATTGAGCTAAATTTGATGGGTCAAGATGAGTTATGTTAATAAATGGGTCATTGCTCAACCCAGTCCAAAGTGTACTTGGCTTTGAATGTTCTAGATAAGTTGGGTTGAGATCTCTTTGTTTCGGGTGAGTTTCATGGGTTGTATTTGGGCTGCTTAATGGGTCAGAATGGACTATAAAATAATGGGGAGAAATTCAAAAATAACCAGATTTATAAGTGGTCGTTCAAAAATAGCACAGTTTCAAAAGTAATCGAAATTTAGCCACTTTTCATGTAAAGATAAATCTGAACGAAAACACTGTTCAAAATCCGGAAAAATACTCCAGTCTAATATACTGGAGTTCCAGTATAATATACCGGTCCAGCATAATATACTGGAGTTTGGAGCATCGGTGTGCTCCAGTCTCCAGTATATTATACTGGAGCCAGTAAAGTATACCGGTCCAGCATGATATGCTGGAAGTTCATACACAGGTGCACCAAACTCCAGTATATTATGCTGGACTGGTCTCTATTGCAGCAAAATAGTGGCTATTTTTCATTGACTTGGTAAATGCTGGCTATTTTTGAACCAGTCCGAAAACTGGCTAGACCGTGCTATTTTACCAAAATAATGGATTAAATTGGGCTTAGCCCAAATTGACCCATTAGCTAAAATGTTTGTAGCCCCACCCATTAATTTCTGGACGAGTTGGACCGGTTCAATGGGTTTGTGGTCAAGTTGACACCCCTGTACTAGTCTCTGTTGCCTGGATTCTGTTCATGAGCTAAAGAGAAAACACAATTACACAATTACAAATTAGTTGAAAAAGAATTGTTTATCTCACTCCTGGACAATTTCCTCAGCTGTTTGCTCTTGGTATTACTTCCATATCCTTTGATATAAATGACACCGGACGATAGAAGAGTAAAAACAGAAATTACAAAAAGAAATACTAACATAAATGGTTTTTACTTCTGGAAGTTCTAGAAAGTGAAAATTAGTTCAAAAAAGAATTGTTTATAATGCATAAGACAGGATCATCGACTTTTTGTGGTTTTTATGCTAATATTTTATTCATCTTTAGTAGAGTGAAATGGGTCAGATTAGAGCAGAATGGATGTACAGGTTCATATAGCCGGGCCTTGGGTAAAAGTCTAGCCACTTTTATGATTGATGTTTAAAACTCAGCTACCGTTTCATAATTGTTTGAAGTTTAGCCACTTTTTAATAAGGAAATAAAAGTTTGATAAAATTATCCCTAGCTAAAACACTGAAAAATACTTTCTGGAACTCTGGTGTTATCTTGCTTCTAACCTTCCTTCAGGTAATCATTAGTTCTCCTCGTTCTCTCACTTAAGCTCGCTGCTTTATGAAGTCATTTAAGTTAACTTAGGATTACCATCTGGCAGTATCTGTTGTCTATGAATACGTTAGCGTCTCGAATAACTTCAAAGTTGCTTGACAGTTAAGTCTGATTCCTTCCTCTTTTAACTCTTTCCTATGTAGCTCCAAGGTTATGATATCAAGGAAATAATACAAGCAACTTGAGCGGGCCATGGTAATTCTCCGAATAAGGCCAGTTACATAATCAGTCGTCTTCATTAGCTTGTTCATAGTTGATGAAAATGGGAAGAAATCTGATTATATTTTCTGTAATTTAGGACAAATGAGAACTGGAGCTTGTATGTAATGGAACAAGTTATTATTTTTTGTCCAATGCCGAGTTGCTTAGTTTATTGGAAGAGCTACTAATGCTCTTTCTTCATGAAAAGCAGGGGAAGAATCCAACAAGGAAGCCCTCTGTTAATTTCTCAATAATAATCTAATATATAGGTTTTGAGTGCACATTTTTCTTTAATTTATCCCTGTGTACAAGTTAGTCGGGATCAGTTATATGAATGAATCTTCGATATCCATTTCACTTCATTTGTACATGTTTCATTCCAATACTCAATAATATGGGAATTCTCTTCAATATCTGGAGGCATTCAGGGTTCGTTTGGTATAAGGGATAAGAAATAATTAATCGCAAAACTAAATTTAAGAAAAGTTTATCCCGTGTTTGATTGTTAGAAAATTGCGGTATAATTAATCCTGGAATTGTAGTATTTTTTTATCCCCATGAAAAGGTGGAATAACAATCCCGGGATAGTTAATCCTGAGATAACTATTTTTCAACCAAACGACCCCTCAAATATCTAATTAGACTTAAAAAGGATACTCAATGATGGTGTTCTCTTGGGAAAATTATTTAAGAAATATCAATCTGGATACAAAGTATAACAGATCGGTGGTGAATCCAAAACAGAACATTGTTCAACTTCAGTATACAAAAAAACATTTATAGTATCGTAGTAATGAACAAAACAAAAGAAGAAAATGACACGGCTTCATTGTTTGGGTCCATGCAGTCAGCAAATACGGATTAATGTCTACATAAGCTTTCACTTCCTGAAATTCAACAGTATAAGAATAGTTAAGATTGCATCTCACAAAATTTTACCGTTTTGATATTTGTCGCTTAAAGTGATGATTGGGGGTCAAAATAACGTTGATGTGTTCTGCAAAATATAAAATTGGTGTTTCAGCGATAGATTTTAAATCATATAACATGGGTAATATAGGTTGGGGGTGGTGAAATGTCATGCCACATGGTGTCCACCTCATTAAAAGGTCGATGGCACGTGGGAATGGATTTCCACGTTGGACAACCCTTACGGATGAGGGGAATATTTGAGCTACTTTGCCAACGTTGGGGGTGTTTTGTACGAAAAGTATAACTGCAAGTAAACTTGATCGTTTTCACATACTAGTAGAGAGACAAGTTTGACCTTTTTACTTAAAATAACTAGAGAAGTAGATCTACATCTAGTTCAAAATTATGATAGGAATTTATAACTGTTGTTTATCTAATTTATAGTGATCAACCCTTTCAAACAAGGATCCGATCCAAATGTGCTTCTCTCTTAGCTAGACTCCCCTCTGATATATATGGTAGTTTCACTCCCTCTCACGATTATTGCAGTTTTATTTCCCTAAAACATGGTTTAAGACAACAAATTTTACCTATATCCTCTAGTTTACATTGAAAAACAATGTACCACCAACTAATAACTTTTTTTTCCCCATGAATTAGTGAGAGAATAAAAAGGCGAAATGCTTACAAGAACTCCAGGCTATGCAATGAAATATGATGCATGGATTCATATATATTCAACGTCTTGTCCTATATTTGACAAAAAAAAAGGTGCAAAATGAGCATAGCAGTTAAAATAAAGCAGAACTTGTTGGCACAAATAATGGAGATAATTTGTATGGAGCAAATGATTTGAAGAACAAAGCAAATCCAGAGAAGCTACAGAGTTGTCTTCGACATAAACAAAGTAAAGAAGTTAAGATATTAGTCTTCAGACATTTTGGACCAAAGAGCTACACGTGGACATGGGCGGATGTATAGGTAAGATGACGGGGCACGTGAGACCATGGTCTCTCGGCAAAATTAAATATTTTATGTATATATTTTTTAAAATTGGTATGATATTAATTGTTGGCACCCATAATCCAAGAAGGTTGAATGGGGCACTTAGTTGAAGGTTGAATTATTCATCTAGATGAATAGGGATCAATTCCACTTAATACATTTTTTCTTTTTTTTTTTAGTTGTGCACCCATGTACTAAAAATCCTAGATCCGCCTCAGCACGTGACGTGGAGACCTAATTAGCATTGGATTATTGTGTTGATTTCATCACAGACATTGATCTCTATTGACCTGGCAACATCTGGACCGTTGGATCAGCTTCTAGAAACTACAGATGTGTAACAAGAATTCGATACAAATTTTGTTTGTTCTTTATTTTTAGCTAATAGGAAATATGACAGTTGGATAAGTTGGTTACAATAGATTCTCTTACATTTTGTATAAATATTGTACAGTGCTGAATGAAATACACACAGAAAATTTCATAATCTTCATCACTTTCTTCATGGTATCAGAGAAGTGACGTTCTTGTGCACTACTCAACCTCGTTTTCTTCTTCCACCATGGTTACTGATACTTCTTCTACAAGGAAATCTACTGAAGTCACATCAGTGGATCCCAATACCACAGTCATGGATTCCAGTCACCCATATTATCTTCATTCCTCTGACTTTCCAGGGATGAATCTTGTGAATTTCACCTTTGATGGCAGAGGTTATGGACGCTACCTAGGTCAGTCCTCATCGCTCTATCAGTCAAAAATAAGGTTGACTTTATTGATGGATCTTGCTCCCCTCCATCTCCTGATTCACCAGACTTCAAACTTTGGAGCAGATGCAACAACATGATTTTATCTTGGCTCCTCAACTCCCTCTCCAAAGAGATTGCAGACAGTGTTATCTACTCATGGATAGCCAAAGATCCGTGGACTGATTTGGAAGATCGCTTTGGGCAGTCCAACGGAGCAAAGTTGTATCACCTGTAAAAGGAGCTCAATGACTTAGTACAGGGGTTTAATGACATAACAGGATATTTCACAAAGGTGAAAAGTCTTTGGGATGAACTAGATACTCTCAATGCAAATATAAGCCGTGGATGTGACTGTACTTGTGGAGGTAAGGCCAAAGTCTCTAAGTCATTTCAAGATAAAAGACTCATTCAATTTCTTATGGGATTGAATGATTCTTATGTTGTTGTTAGAGGAAACATTCTAATGATTTCACCTCTACCTAGTGTTAATCATGCTTATTCATTGTTAATTCAAGATGAAAAACAAAGGAAAATCTATGTTAACAATCAATTCCCTGGTGATTCATCTTCTTTTATGGCTGCTAATCAGTTTAGTGGTTCTCAAAAATTTGGAAACTCTGATTCTAGAGGTGGAAAAGGCAGGGGAGATTACAAGAAAAATAATCAGATTTGTTCCTACTATAAGAAATTTGGACATACTGTGGATAAGTGCTACATGATTATAGGTTTTCCTGCTGATTTTAAGTACAATCAGTTCATGGTTTTAACACTGATTCTGGAATGAATGTCCAGCACCAGTTATCACAAGACTAATTCACTCAACTCATTCAGTTACTTCAAGATGTGAAAGGACGACAACATGGTTCTTCTTCCGAGGTTGCTGCTAATTCTGTTGCCTGTGCTGGTATAAATAATCCTATTTTATACTACATGTCTTGCATACACAACTCTATCTCATGTTGCACTCACATTAAGTCTAATTCCTGGATTCTAGACTCGGGTGCTACTGAACATATGGCTTTTGCCATCACTATTTTTTTCTCAGATCATCCCTCTTCCTATACCCTTAACAGTAAATCTACCTAATTCACAAAAGGTAAAGGCAACTCATAAGGGAAATGTTTCAAGTATTCCCAATCTGATCCTTAGGAATGTGCTTTTAATCCTAGATTTCAATTTCAATATTCTATCAATTCAAAGATTGTGCCCACAATGTCACTATTTACTAATGTTCTCTTCTACTCATTATATTTTGCAGGCCCCTTACCTGAAGAGGCCTCTGGTTCTTGGTGATTTGCAGGGTGGTCTTTATCTACTTCAGCCTTCTAGAGATTTGTCTAGGATCTTCTCTTCGAATAATGTTACTCTTTCAGTTTGTAATCAACACTCTACTAATTTGCCTAAGTCTAAGAAAAATGTTGATGTTTCAGTTTGTAATCAACATTCTAGTTTATTTCCTGTTACTAGTTCAGTTTATGCAGCGGTAAACTCTAAAGTTGATGTAATGTTGTTGTGCACTTGGTTGGGCCATCTTCCTTTTTAAGCTATGAGAAATATCAAGTCTATTTTACAAATTCTCATTGTGATATTAATGTTCCTTGTGAAGTTTTCCCTTTAGCAAGACAAGCCAAATTACCTTTCCCATCAAGTTCAATCACTACCAGTTCGATATTTGAATTAATTCACATTAACACTTGGGGACCTTATAAAACCCCTACTTATGATGGATACAAGTATTTTCTTACTATTGTAGATGATTATAGTAGGGGTACTTGGACCTATCTTTTGGCGACAAAAAGTAATGCATTCACCATACTTAAATCTTTCCTAAGAATGATTGAAAGACAATTTTCCACAAAAGTCAAGTCCATCAGATCTGATAATGCTCTAGAATTAGGTACAAGTGATCTTACTTCTGATTTTTCAAGTCACAAGAAATTATCCATCAAACTACTTGTGTAAATACTCCACAACAAAATGGGATTGTATAGCGAAAACATAGGCATATTCTTGAAGTCTGTAGGGCATTGTAGCATTAATCTAAGGTTTCAGTTTCCTTTTGGGGGGATTTCCTACTAACTGCTAATTTTTTAATCAACATACTACATTCTAGGTGCTGAAATTCAAAACATCTTATCACATCCTTCACAAGAAGCCACCTTCTTATGAAAAAGTCAAAAAATTTGGTTGCCTATGTTATGTTTCTACTCTGTCTGAACATAGAAACAAGTTGGAGCCTAGAGCAACAAAATTTATCTTCCTGGGATATCCAAATGGAAAAAAAGGGTTACAAGGTCATGAATCTATAATCTAGAAAAGTTTTTATGTCTAAGGATGTTGTTTTTCATGAAAACATTTACCATTTCTCTTCTGTCACCTCTACTGAGCATATCTTTCCAAGTTCAACTGTTCCTCATATGACTTTTATTACCTCTAGTGAGCCTATTGTCTCTAATCCCACAGATGAAAATTCTGCACCAGCAGAAACTCTCATCTCTACTACATTTCTCAATTCTCCTACTTCCCTTGCCTCTACCCAATCACCTATCTTGCATGTTTCTACTCCACCACCTCTTTCTTCTATATCTTCTTCCAGACCACACACTCATTATATTTCTCCTATTCCTATTCTCTTCTCCTTATACACCTCAGTTGAAGAGATCAACGAGGGAACACCATCAACCAATTCATCTTATAGACTATGTGTGCAATGTAGTGTACCTCATCAACCTCACTTTATCTTGTTTCATTCCACCAGTTCATCCATCCATCTATCCCTTTTCATCACTTTCCCACACCAACCAGCAATTATTAAATTCTATATCCCATATTTCAGAACCACTAAGTTATATACATGCAGCACTGCATCCAGGATGGCAGCAGGCCATGACAGATGAGTTTGAAGCCCTAATCTCCAATCAAACATGGGAAGTTGTTAAGCTTCCAGTAGGTAAGAAAGCTTTGCCATGTAAATGGGTGTATAAAGTAAAACATAAATCAGACGGAAGTGTGGAAAGATTGAAAGCTAGACTTGTAGTTAGAGGAGATACTCAAAGGGAAATGAGACTTTTTCACCAGTGGTTAAAATTACTACAATTAGGTGTATTCTTGCAGTAGCAGTGAAGAAGAACTAGGAAATTTACCAATTAGATGTGAATAACTCTTTCTTACATGGAAACCTACAAGAAGAGGCCTGTATGAAGTTTCCTCTAGGGATGCAGCTCCCTAATTCTAATCTAGTGTGCAAATTGCGCAAATCCTTATATGGTTTAAAGCAGGCATCATGTCAGTGGTATGCAAGATTAACCGATGCCCTCAATTTCAAGGGATACACATCTTCCCTAAACGACTATTCTCTATTTTTTAAGAAAATGGATGATTCAATTTATCGCGGTTTATGTCGATGATATCTTGTTGACTGGGAATGACTCTGCTAAACTCAGTAATCTTAAAGCTTTTTTTGGACATAGAGTTTAATATCAAGGACCTTGGAGATGCTCATTATTTTTTGGGGATGGAAGTTATCAGAGAATCACATGGACTTATATTAAGCCAGAGAAAGTTTACCTTGGATTTGCTTGTGCAATTTGATTGCATAGACTCTCCAGTTGTCTCATCTCCCCTTGATCCATCCCATAAGCTCCGAGCACATGAAGGGGAATTGCTCTCTGATCTAACTGTTTTTCTTCGTGTAATGGGGAAATTGAACTTTCTCACCCATACTCTACCAGACTTCGCTTTCCCAGTCCAACATCTAAGCCAGTATATGCAGACTCCACGATTTCCTCATTTCCTTACAGGGCTTCGTGTAGTACGATATCTAAGATCCGCTCCTGCACAAGGGATCTTCTTCTCCTCCAGTCCTTCTTTCAAGCTTTTTGCTTTTTGTGACTCCGACTTGGCTTCTTGCCCCATTTCACGTCACTCAGTAAGTGGCTATTTCATTAGCCTAGGCGGATCCCTGATTTCCTAGAAATCCAAAAAACAAACTTCATTTTCTTTGTCATCAGCCGAACCTGAATACAGATCAATGCGTCGTGTTGTAGCTGAACTCACATAGATGGTTTGTCTTCTTGAAGACATCTCTGTAAGCCCAACTCTTCCTATCCCAGTCCATTCCGACAGTCAATCAGCGATTCACATAGCTAAAAATCCCGTCTTTCACGAGCGTACTAAACATGTCGAGCTTGATTGCCATTTTGTACGGCAACAATACCTCTCTGGCTTGATTTCCCTCTATTTTGTTCCTTCTTCCTCCCAAATCGCCGATCTGTTCACAAAACCCCTTTCCGGGCCTTCTCATTCTTTGAATCTTCGCAAGTTGGGCGTCTCTCCTCTCCTCTCCTCTCCTCTCCTCTCCAACTTG